GTATGCCTTTTTTCATTGATTTTGACTGCCTTTATAAATTCAAATATATTTTCTGGAAAGCATGCACGAAAAAATCCTCTCTTGTACTTATTTGATAGTAAATTACGACTTCTTTACATTTTATTCTTAAAGGAAGGGTTAACCCTTCCTTTAAGAATAAAATTTAATTAGAAATGTAGATTAGAAATTTTGAGTTTTTTTACGGCTGTGCGGTGTTCATTCGTAGTACATCGTATACGTCAATTTATTAATGCTGCCTCTGATATATACAGCATAGTCCATGTCTATTGCGAAATTCTATGAGAGCTATGCAACCAATTCCTCAAACCGTAGGCAAGAACGTACTTTTCCTTAAACAGGATGAACACAGCATTGAGTTAGTAAAACTTGAATTCAGTTCTAGCAGGTGGTAGGTTTCAAAATCATTCGGCAATTTAGAAACTTTTTTCAAAACCGATGAAAATCCGTCCCTCAAGAAAAAAATTTAAAGGTGTAATTTGCTATCAAATAAGTTTTCGTGCATGCTTTCCATAAAATATATTTGAATTTATAAAGGCAGTCAAACTCAAAGAAAAAAAGGCATACTATTGAAGTAGCCATTTTTTACAGAATCAAATTCTTCGCGGTGGTCAAAAAGAAGTTCGTCGCAGAGTGGGCATCCTAGCGTGACTGAAAATAACAGAAATTGGACTGCATGATAAACGCTATTGCAACCCTACTCAATGTTGGTTTGCGAGTGATTACCGGTCTTTTTCAAATTGCGGAATGTTGCCTGCAGCATTGCCATACTGTACTTCCTGGGACTCGCATATTTGCTTGTATTGGCACTCAGATTTACCCAATCTATCAGTAACCACCAGTAAACGAAAGAATTTATTCTGTTCAAAAGCACGTCCGAGTGCGCTTTCAGTCATTCGAAAAGTTATATTAGTAAACTTCCATTTCACGATCGGGTAACAGTCTACTATAGGTCGCACCAACTCTTGTTTACTTTGCATAACTGCCTACTTTTTCCCAGTAGCGAACAGGTTCTGTTGTCGGCTGTATTGCCCACCACAAGCGTAGGACATAGTCTATCCACATATTACATTGGCAAACCGACGGAAATCTTTAGTTACTTGCGACTAATTATCGCCTTCGGCAGTTAAAATACCTTTCGGGTGTTCGGTAGACGTTTTGGCAGTTCAGATGCCTATTTTCCATTGTATACATCCTCCACGGAAACATGAGAAACAGTAGACTACTTATCGGCATTCGAACATGAATAAAACATTCTCGTAAGTTATTTTTGAATGAGTTTATACATGCAAATAAAATAAACAGTTTTATTGGACTTGCTTTTCCACAGTTGTTACGCCGCCATTGCTTCCCACTGCAGGTTCCACTGAATATGCCTGTGCTACATGAGAAAGGAATGGACCCATCGAGTACAGTTCATTCCACAGTCTGTACTGGACCGCATCGATGGGCTCCATGATTGCCCGTCCACGGACCGGCCCTCTTTTATGGAGATTCCGCTTCAGAACTGAAGATTTCTTGCATTCTACTGACTGCATTTCCCATTGAATAGTGACTCACTTTGATTTACTCATCGGCGGATAAATTATTTACCTCTGATTTGTCGCAAACTGCTTTTTGCAAATTTTTAAATTATCATGCGCTTTTTCGA